CAATTGTGTGTAATGGTGGTTCATCAGTTGGCATGGGAACCACTCCTGGAGGCGAGCGGCGTACGCCCCTGCGATGTGACAGGAATCAACGCCTCCACAATATCCAAGACATTTGCTAGTTCATGCACATCCAGAAAACGCTCATTCCTGCACTGGTCAATAAGCTTGTAGATAGTTATGGCATCTGGTTGCTAAGTGCCAGCCAAGGAGAAGAGAAGGGTATACCTCTTTGAAAGAGTCTAAAATACAATCGTTACTAGCCTAAACCATCTCTAGCAGAATATGTGTCAGTTTGGTGAAAAAATGATGCTCATAGTCAGTCCATGTTTGTACTTGTTACTGTGTGTCATTCATCGTGACGGTCGAGTAATCCGATTATGCCAAAGCACATATTCCCGAAAAACAGTTCCTTATGGGCCCAGTGACGTTGACACATTGCTTGTTATTGTAACTCTGTGATTGTAAAAAATTCCTATGCAAGTAATTGAAGTTTTGCCAGTTATTGAGTTCATCCTTCGCAATTGCCGTTACGCGTACATTGTATTTTAGTTGCGTATAGCCAACAATAGTGCCTGGGTGAATCCTAAAATGTTGTGTACATCCTAAATTCCGATAGTGATAGCCAGCACTGAAAGCAAAAACTATAATAACCTATATCATAGGTCTTAGACATGGAAATTTATGCAGGTGTCAAATGACACCGTTTGGCCGTTCTAGGAGTACTGAAAGTGGTGGCCGTCCTAGGGTTTCATATAGTACTCTATATTTCCACGATAGCCCAAGGCCAATAAGGAAGATAATATTCCCGTATGTCACGTGACTGTCGCCTTGGAGTCGACCAATGACAGATCAAATTACGCGGGCTGGAAAGCGCGATCCTGCCTGCTGAATGGTGATGGAACTAGTTCCACTGCCCGTCGTCAAGTGACGACGGGCAGTGGACGGAATCCACTGCCCGTCGTCACTTGACGGGGGGAAGTGGACAGAATCCACTGCCTGTCGTCACTTGGCGACGGGCAGTGGACGGAATCCACTCATGAGTCTACCATTTCAATGACAAGCTTCTGTGGTCTGAAAGTACATGCAAAAGTCATGTACTGTAGTCCGTGTACGGTTGTCGAAGTCACTCTCACTCAGCTCACAGCCTCATAGTAATACAGCTGTACAGGACTCGAGTCACAGAATGGTTCATGTAAACTCAAAGATTGTGAGTGATCTCCTTGCGACCTTGGCTTGGGTGCATACGGGAAACATGTTCCAGTCACTCATACTCGGCCAGTACGCCGTTTATCCAGCCCTTGCCGCTATCGCGGCGCGGGCTAGATTCCGCGGTACTGCCCTCATACTCGTGCAGGAACCTGTACTTATTACGATCGGTTCCTCGGGATGTTCACTGATATCTGACAACCACACAAAAAAATGGCGGTGGATGCGCTTTGCCTAATGTTGAATGTTCCCGGCTGATTCTGTGTGTAGACTTACCGCATAGTTAATGCCCTGCTAAATGGTCGGATAGTGCACCTGTCTCAATGCCCTCAAAGGAAGGTACACCTTCCGTCCTTACCATGCGATACTGCCATCCGTGCCTATAATAAGGTCATTCGATGGCAACAAAATCTTCTTGATCTGCGGCCAATGAGACTTTTGTTCGGGTGCTTTCTACGGAACTACGAAAATTCAATTGGTTGTGATTCCTGGTATAGGTTCTCCATGCTTCCCTCTTTATCACTACAACGCATAGGGCGTTCCCCTGCAGCCAAGGATTGCGGCAAACACTTGGAGTGCTCCCTTGGGTTATGGAAAGATGGACATTTTACCGAGCTCCTTGACGAGAGCGAAACGATCCAGCGCGGCTTAAAGGGCAGGACTGGTCATAGGGTTCGCTTTGATGAGGGTCGACCACGCCAGTTTTGTAAACATATGTCTGAGAGCAGAGTTACAGAAGCCGTTCAGATGCTCAGCTTGTAACCGTTGAGCACGCACAGAATGACAGTGTCAGATTCGACATTTTTCTCAGAACAAAAAATGTTTTTTGTAGATGAATTGCGCGCAGGCTGTAAGCATAATAACTGGGATACAGCGCTCGCACTCACATTGTTACGCCATACCCATCTCCCATAGCATGGTTACTTACACGTACTTCAACTACATATATCTGAGAATATATCAGAATACTCTAACCGCAGCAAAATGTGTAAACCTGCCAAATTATGCTCCAAATTTGCAACCAACATATTACGTCATTAATTGTGCGACATACTCCGCCTCAGCCTAGCTGTCACATACAGTATCCACTGAGCACTCGTCATGTAGGCTGTCCGAACGTACAACGCCATTAGCTGTTTCCTCACGTTTCATTCCATGTACGTCGCATCGTTACGTTGCTCTTCTCCTGCCCGTCTTGGGTCACCTCCGTTGCTGGTCCTTGTTACCCAGCTTGAGGCTCTTCACTTCTGGCGACTCGTGATGCGTCAGGTGGTTGGAGCTGCGCAGGTCCAACCAGCCTCTGCTACCAGTGTAACCGTTCAGCATGCACAGAAGAATGGTGTTGTTGCATTTGTCATTGTTCTTTGAACAAAAAATGTTATTAATTTTATAGATGTATTGCGCTAACAGTCCGTAGTCTAACAGTAAGCGGGTGCATAACAGCTGTGACGCAGCACTCGCAGTCACACCGGTGCACTGCTATTGCGGGCAGGAGCAGTCTGATTCGCCAGTGAGCGGCACTGATTAAGTGGTTGGTGATATTCTGCTTCAGACACACGCTGCGCCTGCTGTGCCAAGTCTGGATGTGTTGCTTGCAGGACTTGATAAAGTAAACAGTCCTGGCGGGCCACGGATCGGCTGGCCGTCTAGTTTGGACTCTGGCGCATGTCGCAGAATGTGTACTTGCTATAAAGGTGCTTAGACCCACTTACTATATGTGCCGTTACCTCCAGGGAGATCCAGTTGTGGTGGTCGTTGCGGAGACACGTCCACACACTTCACGTACAAACTAAGACGGGGGGGCCAAGTTAAAGTAAGGGCTTCATCCCACCGGCATGTGTGGATAAACAGGAAGTGTGAGTTACGAAGTCAGAAGAAAGTGTTCAACCGTCTCTGATGGGATGATTGCTACACCTTAGCTCTGTGGTTAGAGAATCGCTGGCCTCAAGCTCAGATCCTTGGCTCGAGTCCTGGTGGTGAGTCTGGTTACAGTCAATGTTTTCTTCAGACTTTCCTCATTTGTGTCTTTCCCACAAAGTATTGAATACATGTAGTGGATTTCAATACTTGTTTTCATTTCAATACTGGTTTTCATTTCAATACTTGTTTTCATTTCAATACTTGTTTTCATTTCAATACTTGTTTTCATTTCAATACTTGTTTTCATTTCAATACTTGTTTTCATTTCAATACTTGTTTTCATTTCAATACTGGTTTTCATTTCAATACTTGTTTTCATTTCAATACTTGTTTTCATTTCAATACTTGTTTTCATTTCAATACTTGTTTTCATTTCAATACTTGTTTTCATTTCAATACTTGTTTTCATTTCAATACTTGTTTTCATTTCAATACTTGTTTTCATTTCAATACTTGTTTCCATTTCAATACTTGTTTTCATTTCAATACTTGTTTTCATTTCAATACTTGTTTTCATTTCAATACTTGTTTGCAATTCAATACTTGTTTTCATTTCAATACTTGTTTTCATTTCAATACTTGTTTTCATTTCAATACTTGTTTTCATTTCAATACTTGTTTTCATTTCAATACTTGTTTTCATTTCAATACTTGTTTTCATTTCAATACTTGTTTTCATTTCAATACTTGTTTTCATTTCAATACTTGTTTTCATTTCAATACTTGTTTTCATTTCAATACTTGTTTTCATTTCAATACTTGTTTTCATTTCAATACTTGTTTCCATTTCAATACTTGTTTTCATTTCAATACTTGTTTTCATTTCAATACTTGTTTCCATTTCAATACTTGTTTTCATTTCAATACTTGTTTTCATTTCAATACTTGTTTTCATTTCAATACTTGTTTGCATTTCAATACTTGTTTTCATTTCAATACTTGTTTGCATTTCAATACTTGTTTTCATTTCAATACTTGTTTCCATTTCAATACTTGTTTTCATTTCAATACTTGTTTTCATTTCAATACTTGTTTCCATTTCAATACTTGTTTTCATTTCAATACTTGTTTTCATTTCAATACTTGTTTTCATTTCAATACTTGTTTGCATTTCAATACTTGTTTTCATTTCAATACTTGTTTGCATTTCAATACTTGTTTTCATTTCAATACTTGTTTCCATTTCAATACTTGTTTTCATTTCAATACTTGTTTTCATTTCAATACTTGTTTCCATTTCAATACTTGTTTTCATTTCAATACTTGTTTTCATTTCAATACTTGTTTTCATTTCAATACTTGTTTTCATTTCAATACTTGTTTTCATTTCAATACTTGTTTGCATTTCAATACTTGTTTGCATTTCAATACTTGTTTTCATTTCAATACTTGTTTGCATTTCAATACTTGTTTTCATTTCAATACTTGTTTCCATTTCAATACTTGTTTGCATTTCAATACTTGTTTTCATTTCAATACTTGTTTCCATTTCAATACTTGTTTTCATTTCAATACTTGTTTTCATTTCAATACTTGTTTTCATTTCAATACTTGTTTTCATTTCAATACTTGTTTTCATTTCAATACTTGTTTGCATTTCAATACTTGTTTGCATTTCAATACTTGTTTTCATTTCAATACTTGTTTGCATTTCAATACTTGTTTTCATTTCAATACTTGTTTCCATTTCAATACTTGTTTTCATTTCAATACTTGTTTTCATTTCAATACTTGTTTCCATTTCAATACTTGTTTCCATTTCAATACTTGTTTTCATTTCAATACTTGTTTTCATTTCAATACTACGTGTTTTTGTCTCCTCCACGATATTTTAAAATAATAGAGTACTACTTTTACAACTTGCTTTTCTCAACTCATTTGAGATTGTACATACCGCTAGTTGTCGTGGAGGATTCAGGTGTTGATCCAGTTGTTGATCCAGGTGTTGATCCTGTTGTTGATTGTGGTGTTGAATTGACTGAAAAATCAAAAACGACCATGTACAGTAGCACAAGCAATGGCATAAACATTAGAGCGTCAGAGAAATAATCACCTTCCACAACACAGCCAGAGAGACTAACAGGTCCACCATTGGTTTTAAAGCTGTTCCTAAGTCCTTCTGTACGCATGTCCATGAATTTGCCTTCCTAACCATCGACAAAGTTACTGGCCGGTCAAAGTCGTATCAAGAACCACAGGCATCGCTTCATCACCTCAGCAATACGTCAGGCGAAGTCGTGACTGACGTTCGCCGTCCACATGTCCTCTCACCTCATCACGGGCGACACGCCGAGTCCAGTCTTTTCTGCTTGAAAACAATTTCCCCAACCCAAGTGACGAAGCTATTCGCCCAGTTTGACGCAAACAAAGCTACGAGGGAGTGACGGTGTACCAGGATTGGTCCTTAAAATGACCTGCTCCACGCTTGCCCTTTCCTTGAATGACTTATTTAACGAGTTCTTGCGATCGGGGAAAATGCCAGCTGCATTCAAGCACTGTTATGTTTCTCTCCTTTTCAAAGTGGGGACACCGACCGTCGCCAGTACTTATAGTCCGATACCTCTCCTCCCGATCGTGTCTCGCCTACAGTCCATTAAGAAAAAGATGTACTTCTAGCTTTTGGCCATAAATGGGTCAAACTTTGAGTTTTTTTTGGATTTTTTCTACAATCCTCTATGTAATCCTCTTCAAATTATGTCTCTGAAGTTGTTTTGTCCAAAAAGCAAGCCATAACAAGAATAGGAGTTCGGCCAGGTTTTGTCCCAAAAGCACTGAATTGGGGAAAGCCATAACAAAATCCAGGCCGTTTGACCCAGCCTGCAACAGTGCATCGTGCAGTTCAGGTACCTTTTTGGACCCTTTTTTCAAATTTCAAATTTCGCAGCACTGCGCTGTATACGATGAAATCACGAAATATCCTCAAGTATGGGAGCTCACCAGAGCCAGGGCCCATCTTTTTATGAATGAACTGTAGTTCACATTCAACGGGGGGGGGGGGACTGGACGCGACACAAGGATCGACGGGAAGCAACAGGACGATCTGATGGCGTCCAATGTGAACATCATGAACCGGAACGAAATCTTACTACTTTGTGAATCGGGAAGCGACGAGAAAAGTTCGATAATTTCGACTCTGCTTACTGTAGACGGGCGTACACGGGGACGCAAGCGTACAAAACCCCTGCTTTCTGAGTATGAACCATGACGAGACGGCGTCGCGCGCCAACTACTCCCGATTCGTACTTGGACGTTTTTTACCATTTCGAACACGGCGCTTCCCATCATTACTCGCAGAATTGCTAATATAACTTAATTTCAGCAAGATAAGATCTAATGTAACTTATGGTATTTTCTATTTAAGGATAGTTCAAGAGCGTGACAGACAGAACTGTTTATCATTTCTGTGGTATCATCAAGTCTATGTGATGATTAGTTATATTGAAATAGAATAATGTAACGAAGGACTAAGAGAGGACGACTCGTCAGGAAACTACCAAGGAAAGACTGAACAGCAACAAGAGACATGCACTGTCGATTATGGGCACGGAGTACACACATGCATGCATAGTATGAGTAGTATGCTGTAAGGTTGTACGCACGTCCATGCAAGGAGATGCAGTACCATAATAAGAAACATGAGAGTGCAAATATGTACGATGTACACGGGTACACCACACGCCCCTTCTGAGATAAACAAGCGGAAAATCGGAGCTGTATATCTCACATAAACGAGAAGGAAAAAACAGAAGTGACAGAAAAGAAAGTAAACACTAATGAAGCATGATACCAATCCCAACTACTTGTAGCAAGAGTGTGAGGTACAGGTATGTAGAGTCAAGCATAGGACTTAGATGCTGCGGACGAAATGTTCAAACGCTCTGGTGCCTGGCCAGACCGTTGGCTACAACGAGGCTGCTGCACACAAGGCTGCTGCGGTGCTGTGGGCTCAGCCGGGGAGGTGTCTGCAGGCGGAGCGGGAGGGGCTACGGCAGGGGCAGGCTTGAGAAGGCGACGGTTGCGCCAGTAAACACGGCCGCTGGATAACTTCACCATATAGTCCCGGTTGCGACCAATGGCGATGACCACGCCGGTGGTGCGCCAGAGTTTGGTGCGCGGATCTTGGATGTCAACCCGCATGCCAATGCGAAGTGGGGACAGTGATCTGGCAGACTCATCATAATTCTGTTCTTGGGTGGCAGACTGAGCGGCAGAGCGCTTGTCAACATCGGTGGCTTTTGCTTGCCAATCAGGAGCAAAGCTAAGATGATGAGCTGTCACGAAGGAGGACAATGGTCGACCAAACAGTGCTTGGGCTGGGCTCTGACCATTTTCTCGGGGGGTGTTGCGCCATTCTAACAATGCGCGTCTGAACTCATCGACGTCCAAGTTACCGTCGGACGTAGTCTTCAACACAAGTGATTTCATCGCTTTCACGGCGGCTTCGGCATGGCCATTAGATCGAGAATAATGAGGTGAAGACGTGGAGTGCTCAACTTGCCATCCGGTGCAAAATTCAGCGAAGCGACGTGATGAAAATTGCGGACCACCATTAGTGGTGAGGATGCTGGGGACACCGACGTCGGCGAACCAGCCACGGAACACACGGATCACATCGGCAGAAGATGCAGTGCGGCCGATCTTGGCGATGCAAGGCCAGCCAGTGTGACGGTCGATGTAAACCAGGTATTCCCAGCCTTGACAGGAAAATAAGTCGGCACTGGTTGACTGGAATGGCAGGGTGGGACGGCGGTCAGTGGTGACACGCATCGGTTCCTTACACTGAGACGGAGCGTGCAAGCGACACTGTTCGCAACTGCGAACGACTTGGGCGATGTCATTAGACAAGTGTTGCTAGTATACGACTTGTCGAGCTCGACGCTGTGTGCGGTTGAGGCCTTGGTGGGAGGCATGAAGATCCTGGAGCACACGTGGGCGGAGGGTACGCGGGACCACAACACGTTGGACTTTCAGGACAAGATCACCGTCGACTGAAAGATGCTCGCGGATAGTGAAGTACGGTTTCACAGCTGAGTGGACGGCGCGCTGATCATCAGGGAAACCTTCACGAACGGCTTGGAGAAGGGCCTGATAGTCATCATCGGCACGGGCAGCGTCCAAGAGCTCGCAGTGCCGGAGGTCTGCAATTCGGCCATCCTCTCCCTGGTGGAGACATGCTCTGATGGCTGGTGCTGAGAGCGTTGAGCTTTCACCGAATTCTTCCTCACTGGTCGTCTTGTCGACCGGGTTACGGGACAGTGCATCAGCAAACGCATTCTCTTTGCCCTTGCGCCAGTGCGCGACGAGTTGAAACGACCGGAGCTTCAGTGCGAGGCGTAGCAGACGTGGATTTTCTATCTGATCCAGGGTGTACTTGTTCAGAATCGGGACCAATGAACGGTGGTCAGTGAACAAATCGAATCGGCTGCCAGACAGAAAGAGGGAGCACTTGTGGACAGCCCAAACCACAGCAAATAACTCCAGTTCTATGACGGCATAACGTGTCTCTGCGTCGGTGAGAAATCGGCTGCCACACTGCAGCATGCGCCACTGATTATCTTGGCGTTGCCATAACACGAACCCAAGTCCGTTCAGGGCAGAGGCGTCGGTCTCTAGCCGAAGGTCGTCACCAGCACGGTAGTACGAGAGAGTCGGCGGTGATATCAGTTCAGACTTTGTGGCGTTGAAAGCCGCGGTGTGGACATCATCCCACACGAACTCATTCGTGGTCTTCAATAACGGACGTAGCGGAGCTTCCAGCTCGGATATCCGTGGGGTGAATTCTCCACACTGATTCACCAGACCGAGGAAGGAACGGAGGTCGGTACGATTGGTGGGTAGGTTGAACTGCTGAAGAGCGGATGTCTTGTCAGCTGGCACGGTATATCCGTTGGACGACACATGAAACCCACAGAATTCGACTTCAGCAGCGGCGAAGACAAACTTCTTTTGACTGAGATTAATTCCGTGTTCGCGTGCTCGGGTCAGGACGGCACGGACGTGAGCGACATGGTCCGAGAATGACTCATCGTGAACGAGGCCGTCGTCCACCACCTTAATGAGATGGGTCAAACGGTCGAAAGCTGCGTCGGTGCGGCGGTTGTACTCATCGCCGGCGGACACAAGACCTTGTGGATTCCGGCAGAATCGGTATCTACACCACGGTGTGATGAACGTAGTGAGAGACTTGGCAGACTCAGACAGGGGCACCTGCCAATAGCCATGACGGGCGTCAAACTTGGTGAACCATCGGGCTGTGCCGATGCCAGAGAGAGCATCACGTGCGTTCTGCATGGGGTAGGTGGGACGCTTCACTTGTCGGTTGAGAGACTGAAGGTCCACAGTCAGACGTTTCTCACTAGAATTCTTCTTGTCGACTACAACAATGGGGTGGCACCAGTCGCACGGCTCTGACACTGTCTCGATAATGCCTTCCTCAACCATTATGTCGAGCTGGGTTTTCACCTGCTCATGGTAGGCATGTGCGATAGGACGAGCTGTGTAGACTCGGTGAGGTTTCGCATCATCTTCGAGAATGATGTCCATTGGCTTGCCACACATGGGTTTCAATGTCGTGTCGTCAAAGACGTCTGCGAACTCTCGCAGTAGGTCAGCACGGATCTGCGCCAGCTTGCTAGGGTCAGGTGTGTTCACGAGACCGGTCGTCACAACGGGAGCCGTTGGAGGTGGTGTGCTGCTGGTACTAACACGCGCAACTTGCTTGGGCCAGCCGTCTGGTAAGAGGCCTAAGGCGTATAGCGATTGGCGTGACAACAGGGGTTCACGCAGTCCACGGTACACATGGATGGTGCTATCATGCTTGAGCGAGCCGATGGTGAGAGTGGCAGAGATCTTGCCAGCTGAAACGAGACGTTCACCATTGGCAGCATGCACATTATCATGGTCTGTGGCCAGATTCTCCACAAAACCACCGAGATGCAATAACTGATCGACGCCAATAGCGTCAATGTCACTTCCCGT